ACCAGAACAAAATTTATTATTATGATTGATTATTTCAAAAGGCAATATTATTCAATGCTTTTAGGTCGCTTAGATGATCAAAACAAAAGAAAATATATTTTGTTCCACCCTAACAATCATCTGATTATCTCAGATGATTATAACAATCATCTGATTATCTCAGATGATTATAACAAACATCTGATTATCTCAGATGATTATAATAATCATCTGATTATCACAGATGAATATAACAATTATCTGATTATCGCAGATGATTACAACATTTATCTGATTGTCTCAGATGATTATAACAATCATCTATAAGATAAGCAGCTTTGTAGATTAAGAAGGATAGTAATGTAACAACAAAGAACACAGTAAAATCAGCTTCAGTTTTTATCAAGTATATACTATTTTGCTGATCAGTGACTTTTTTATTCACAACATATGTTACTATTTTTATTATTTATTTCAAATTTAAAAAAAAAATGGCCTTATAGAAATAAGCTACAGTAGACATCGGCAGTAATTTCTGCAACTAACAAATATTTTGACAAATCAAGAAACTGTTTTTTAAATGTGTAAGAAATTTGTATAGGAAATTATGTTTGAAAATATATTTAATAAAATTGAAGTCCATTTAATTATCACAGACTTATAAAACAGTTTTCTTACAGTTGGATAGTAAATGAAAAATAATAAATAAATGTAAACATTAATTAATTGCTGTTGAAGTATATAGTTCCGCCAATCTGATGCGAGTTCTGCTGGTCTCCAGGTTTTTAAGGTTTTTTGTAATATTGTTTTGAAGATTAAACTTAAAAGTTTCATTAGTTTTGTAAGAGTGTGATTTACACAACATGTAACAGATCCACTGTTATTTGCAACTTTTGATTTCAGTTTCTACATCAAATAAATTTGTCCGTCTTTCTAATTCTATTTTGGCAATTCGTTCTAGTCAATATATTTTTAAAATCATTAACCACGATTAATCTTAAATAAATGCTATATTATTCTGACAAATAATTATTTAATAGGAAGTTGTTAATAACCATCCACACATTGTATAATTATTTTTAAATTAACTAATAATTAACATTCTCGTCATATATAAATTTTACATAAGATAATATATTTATCACATATATATTTATATTTATTATCATTGTAAAATAAATTTGGCATTTAGTTTGATGGTTGATTGCTATACAAAAACATATTTTATAAATTAGTGTACAAAAAATTTAAAAAAAAAATTAATATGCTATAATATCTCATTTCAGGTACGTTATATATATTCTCCTACTTAAATAGGTGAGCTATAAATTTTATATAAGCAACAACACATTGACGACGACTTTAACATTAAAAAAAATGGCAGTTCACTTTTTTATTTTGATTTAATACTGGTGTTAAAACCAATTAATTATTATATATATCAATATGTAATACTATTTATTTCTTATGCATGTATGTATGCACATGCTAAAGTTGAAATGATTTTTAGATTTTAAAAACGTAATAATGATATAAGTAGTGATAGTATTTTAATCTACTTCACTGTATTTTTGATATATATTTTTCATTATATATGATTTTTTCTAAAACATAATATTAACAATAACAATGCAATTTGAGGTAACAACTAAATAAATTTTTTAAATAAATTTTATATATTGATTTATATATTATATATTGATTTTTGAATCTATGTATTATATCACTCAATGAGTCTTTAAGTAATATACAAGAAATAAGAAATATAAATTAAATGAAATTTATAATTCTCATTTCATTTATTTTCTAGCTACATTATAAGTTGAGAAGCAATTCTTAGACTTATTGATATTTTAATATAAATTACAATATGGATAGTTCTAATCATCAAATTTTGTAATACAGTATAAGAGATTCACATGAGTTATATGTATATTTAATATTAAAGTTAATTTTAACTATACATTTATAACATAAATTTTTTTTCACACGGAATTTATGAGATTATACTCTTTATGATATATTAATATAGGAAACTATACCTTACTCAAATGCTTCAAATGCTGGTTCTTATTTTGAAAATCAATTTCTATTCGATTATTGAAAATAATTGTGAACATTGATATTTAGTTCTGCTGTGATGATATTGTCACCACAGCTCCTCCCTTGTAGCGGTGGAGGCTGGACGACGACATGATAAGGTATTTCATATTCCACTGTATGTTAAAAAATATATACCATATAAATAAAAATTTACGAATATATGTAATAACAGTTCAGGTTTATCTTTGAATTCGATGTGGACAATCAAGGAAGACTTTGAGACTGTCCTTTGGAAGACTTTGAGACTGGTACGTGTCGAGAACGCGAAGCTCGACACGTACCCTTGCCATTGAAAATGATGACTGCTTTCAGGCTTTTCTGTGCTATCTAAAACTTTTTCTTAGCAGTAAAGATTTTCGTGATGTATTACCATAAAACATTACTGCAAACTGGCATTCATATTAACTTTCGGTGAAGTTCTCAGCACAAGAAATCTATGGTAACACGTACACTTTACAGCGTTTTATAAAACCGTTCTTTTCTATTTGTTGAAAAACAGTTTTGTGTGAGTGTTTATTTTGGAAACCTATTTATTGAAACTGCCGTCCCAAATTTGTCGTAATAGTACTATAATATACTATCAAATCTCTAACAAAAATGGCAATAATATCTCACGTCGGTAATAATATCAGGAATCACGTTGATCGTGCGAAATGATAGATGCATGTTATTGAAAACGCCAATAACCACAATAACCAGCTTTACAAAATCACAACCTTCGACCTTAATGAACACGCTTAGCATTATTCTATAGAAAGCGGAACTGCATCTATAGTATTCTGATACACATTTAGACAACATTCATAAACCTTAGTGAAAACATCCAACCGTGCTCTGATATAGTAGTAAATCTTCGTTTTAGGCACGGTTATCAAATTCTGGTAAAATAGGATACGTCTTTATGAATATGCGGCCAAACTTAGCTTGACTAACTTCAGCGTTGATATATTTGATGTGTTAATATATTTGATGTGTTAATATATGAAAGTTTTTTATCACTAACTGTGGACAACTGGGTAGTACATTTCAGTATTTGAGATACGAAATTTGTGTGCCTCCAAGTTTAAAGAAAACGCAGACGGGATTTGAAAATCATATGTAACTTTGCATCTTTTTTTTTTGTAACCCAACGACTTCTTTGCTTCCCGCTATTACCTCATTTGGCACTGAAACTATTATATATTGTATATGTTAACCTTTTCTCATTTTCAATTTCATATATCTATGATCAGAGTAAGTAGAAAGAGAAAGTAAAAAGATAACATTGATTTGACTATCCTTAAAACGGAAAGTCGAACTCTGGAAAGTCACCATTGAATATTATTAACAATAATTTTTCTCATCGGTCTACTTATATTTAGTACTCTATTTATGTACATATATATATATATTAATATATATATATATTAATATAGATATATTAATATATATATACTTATATATATATACTTATATATATATACTTATATATACATACTTATATATATACTAATATATATATATCTATATATTATGTACATTTTTTCAAGATTCTCGAATGCATTTTACTTACCCTACGTGACAAATATTATAATATACGGTTTGAGAATTCATATTAATTTACACCTGTTAAATTTGATGAAATAGTTTCTTATTAGTCTTGATTTGAGATAGGTGATCGAAAAATTATTTATTTTCAACTTATTTTTCTTAGTTATAGGTTTTCTTATAGTGATAAATAAACCTTTAAAATATAATAGCAATAAATATTTTATTTCATTGTGAATTTTTAGTAAAAACTGAGGCGAGTTTCGCCAATAATTATTTGAATTACAAAGATACTTATATCTTAAATATTAGATACTTATTTCCTTTGATATTAAAAGTTAGGGAAAATGAATTAAAAGTCTATCGATATATTATTGTTAGAGATAATTCTAATCCTTTATTGTGTTTAGTGTTTAGCAAAAATGTTAGTTCTCTTTAATAGTGAAACATTATGTATATGTTCTCATAAAAAGTGACATAAATTATTCAAAAACCAATTGAATTGTCCATCAATTGTAGTAAAAAGTTAATATAAAGTTTATAAAAAAAATATTAAAATTTAAAGTGTCGATAAAATGAACGAAATAATAGCTGTACACAATTCCTAACACAATATTTTGAAAGCACGGTTGCCACTTGAAAATTTTTTTCTGTACCAAAATTGGTTTAAAAAGGTACCATTTCTGTAAAAAAGGGTCCAAAATTTTCCTATTGTCTTTTTATAAGAAAATACAATTTATATGAAATGTACAAAAAGTATAAAACAATACAAGTCTTTTTATATATAATAATTTTATTATTTAAATATTTGGACTATCTTTTTTTGACCATACATAGTGCATATCTTTGTTGTTAAAAAGTTCTTTACATAACATAATATTATTGAGGGTCTTAAACTCTAATTTATTTCGCAATTTATTTTTAATTAGACTTAATTCAAAAAATTTTCTTTCTGCTACTGCAGAGCTATGTGGCAAAACCATTAAATTATTTACAAATAAATTTAATTCTCTAAATGCTGGCTCGTTGAAACCATTATTTGTTTTCTTAATTTGCTCCCAAAATAAATTGATATTATCAAAATGTTTTATATTTTTTGTTGATAGTCTTAATAATGTCCATTGCGATATAATTTCATCCGGTTCGCACTCAAGTAAATAACTAAAATGAGTTAGTAGCGGTGCAATTGAAAGTTCATCATCAGAAAGTATTTTAGACGGCGTTATAATCTCAAGAGATTTTATATCAGTTCTTGAAAAATCAAAACGCTGCAAAATTTGTGAAACAAGTTCAATATAAAAACAGCGTACATTTTTTTTTATTTCACATATTTTGGATTTTTCTATATTATGATTATCTGTAAAAGTCTCTGCTTTTATTCCCATAAAAACTTTTTCAATGGGCAAAAAATAATTAGAATCTTTAAATTCCAAGGATTCTAATGGCACGTTTTTAACGTGCTGATAGCACATAAAATTGGTTAATATTAACTGAACAACCGCTTCTAGTTTCCTATATAAAAAAGGCAGTCGAATGCTATCAGATTGGAACTCAATATTTAAGTCATTCACAATTTTCAAAATATACGTTAAAAAAAGCATGTAAGCTTTTGTTTCTCGCATTGCCATAAGATTTGCTAAGTCTTTTGGTTTTATATCATTGACTTCAATACACTGCGATAAAAAGTAAAGCTGGAGCGCATCCCATTGTTCAATAATTCGCAAAACAACATGTTGTAATGATAACCATCTCGTTAAAGCTAGACCTAATATTTTGTGAGGTTTTATGTTACAATATTCTTGAAATTCTTTAAATTCTTGAACTCTTTTAGGACTCCATGAAAAATATGAATATATATTTCTACACAATGATTCAACTTCACCTGGTAATTTTTTGCAGGCATAGGCTGTGCACAAATGTAAAGAGTGGTAGGTACACTTTAGGTAAAACAAATTGGTGTCTTTAGTTAATTTAGTTTTTAACCCAGTTAAATGCCCAGCCATAGTATTTGCTCCATCTGTTGCAAGTCCGATTAAATTTTGGATTGGAATGTTATTAGTTAAAAAAAACGATTTTATATTTTGATAAATAGACTCGGCATCACATTTTTCTAGTTCTATGAGACATAAGAACCTGTCTCTAACTAGGCCAGCTAAGTTTTCAAAATATCTCACAACTAAAACAAGTGCTTTTCTGCATGAAACATCAGTAGTTTCATCAACAATTAAAGAAAATTTTGATGTTTTTAACTGCTTTACAATATGTGCATTTGAAATTGATGCAAGTTGCTCAGTAATTTGTGTTGCCTTGGTTCGACTGCATTTAATCGCCTTCGCAATTTCAGAATCCGGACAACATGCGCGTAGTAGATTAGGTAAAAAATCCATTAATAAAAACGGCAAATTGTGCATAACGCAAAACATAATAAGCGCATATTCTGCATCACGTACTTGTTCATTAAAGTTATTGTTCTTGCATTCTGCCGCAAATTCATCAATTCTAGTTTGACCCTTTTTTGTTGCAATTTTACGTATATGGGTTTGTTTTGAATCGTGTCGTTTTATATGCGATAAGTGGTTAATAATAATCTTATGACATGCAGTGCAATAAGCATTACCATTTTTATTTGTCAACCACGGAAATGTGTTAGTCCATTCTAATCGAAATTTTCTTTTAACTTTTGCAGCCGCAATATTTTTACTAAATCAATATATACAATTATATTAGTTTCAATAATACATATGCGTATATGAATTTTTATTTACTTCTGGACACTGCCATCGCTATCTGTTGAAACACTTGCAGCGTCACGTATATTACCAGTATTACTCGTATCGGTTGACGGTTTTCCTTTACAAAGAAACCTATGCAATGATGTGATTATTAAATACATCTGTAATATGCTAATAAATAAATACAATTACTTCTCCATTTTTCCTTATGAACTTTTTTATTTATTTTATTTTATTAAATTATCCAGTTTTTTTAAGTCTTCGTTGCAAACGTCAGATATGGAAATACCCTTTTTGTTTTTTCGTTCTGTGTTTTTCATAGTGTTACCAATAAACAAAATATAAAATAGTGCAAAGTTGCATTTATAAAAAAACATAATTGAAAATATCCACAATAAAGTTGGGTCGTCAAAAATGTACCATTTTTTGAACATGAGTACCAGAGTACCAAACAAAAAAAAAAAAAAAAAAAGTACCAATTTTGGTACTAAAGTACCAAAAGTGGCAACCGTGTTTGAAAGTTATCACGATAAGTACGATTTATTAACTTTAATATGAACATTTTCTCTTGATCGCTGACAACAAAATAAATTTGTACGAAAATTAAACAATTAGGCAAATCATTAATCATTAATCATTAATCAATAATCAATAATCGTAAACGCAACTCACTTGCAGATAATAATTGTTCCACTTACTTCATAAAAAGTTTTCATTGAACTGTATTGAAGGTGTCTTCGTCTAATGAATAAATATCAAGAAATGAATAATATCGGATAATATGAGTTTGTATTAAACAATAACGATAGCAATAATTGCTGTTAAAATTGGTGCTGATGATGATGAAAACGTTTAGTGATTGTTGCATTTACCTCAATCTGTGTTGCTACCTGTATTCATGTATTATTGCATCTAGCGATGATGAAGCTAAAGTTGTAGAAGAAGAAGATAAATGAGCCAATACGCTTAGTCGTAACAAATCACTAATTTTTTTATATAGACGAACCAACCGAACGTTTTATCGATCAAATAAATGTATTTTTTGATTTTAGGTAGGTTATTTTGTTTATTGACTCGCAAGTTCGATTGACCTCAATGTCTGCATGCGTGTGCATGCTTACCCTACATACATATAAATTAACGACATTATCTGACGAACAAATATTATGTTTCCATTATGTTTATGAGTTAAAATATTTCAAAACTAATTTTACATTTGAACTTATTGAACAAAGATTTTGATAATTACTTCTCGAAGCGATTAATAGAGATGGTATCTGTACAGAGACTAATGACGAACGAACTGGTCTTAGTACTGGGCTGTGTAAAAACTTAAAGAACTTAAATACGCACTATTTGTTAACTACAAGATACTAATTTTTCAAATCTTATATTGTCAGATTGTGTAAGTTTTATAATTTAGTTAGCAAATGCTCATTGTATAAATCGTAAGTTTACCCTGTTAACTGTGTCCATGTATCCAATTTTTTTCTATTGCAAACCACAATTTTTTACACTTTCGGAACGAAATCAAAATTATGAAAATTTGCGTTAAATATTGTAAAATAAAGCAATACAAAATGCGAAACATTTAAATTTAAAATAAAAACGTTGCAAATATTGTGTATCATAGTTATTTTTGTTTATTATTATTGTTTTGCTTATTGAGCAATGATTGATGCTGCAAATTTAGCAAATTTAGCAAAATTTGTAATATATTTGGTAATATGCAAAGATGACTACTGTACTTGATATATCACTGTATTATTCCAATTTGCTCTAGTTCTGAATTATTCAGTCAAATTAAAACTAATTATTTCCAAGAAAAGATATTGTAATAAGCGATATGACAAATATCTTTCAATTGTAGTTCAATCTTAGATACTTAGATTTGTATTGTTTAAAGATAGCAAGATTACTACATCCATTAAATGCGTATAACTCATGCCAATATTCCAAACCACAATTACCACATGTATTTTCCATGTATATGGAGCCAAATAAAATTTAAAACATATCGTTCTTAGTTCAACAATATTATAAAGATTGTTATATTTTAAATTTACAAAAAGTTTAAAAAAAATAATTAAAAATATTTCAAAAAAGTTAACAAAACACTCATTTAAATCTTTAGGAATAAAATAATGATTCCAAATAGAAGTCTGTATATCATATACTTAAGAACCGTTATCATATACCTCCTATGAAATAATATGTCACCAAATTGTATATATGTTACATCTTAAGCCAAAGTAATGACGCGTTCTACATTTTTCTGACGGTTAATTGTTAGCTTTTCGTTATCATATCCAGTCATGAATATCCATGTTTTTTAAACCAACTTCCGCGGTTGACAAAAGAGATAAATTTTAATATCTATATTAACGACGTATATGGTATGTATATGTTGATCCTTTTTTCGATTCAGCGCAACTGGGCACTTTTACTCTTTGATAGCTGGGGATACTACAGGCTCGCACCCATCTCATTGACTAATTTATGTATTTCCTATAAGCTTCATGATTATTCAGTAATTGATCTAAGATCTGCGTACCTCCCCGTGCGGAGAGTGATAACTCTAAGATTAGACTAACGACATCCGCCAAGCTTCTTAGTTCATAGACTTTTATACTGAACTATCTCAATATTACCAGGTCTACACATGTACAAAGAAAGCGATCGATAGTTTCTTCTTATAGCTTCTTACAGCTCCTACATATATGGTTAAAAAGCAAATCCAATAATTTAGCATTGTTAAAAAGGAAATTTCGAGTACATATTTATATATTTATTCTGATTTATTTATTTTAATCAGATTTATTTTATTTGCCCTGGTGAAGATTATAGTCTTTAAGAAAATTCTATACGCAGATAATAGTATTTATCTATTAAATTATATATTTAAATTGTATGAGCAGAATCAAAAAGATGGTTTGTATTAAGATAAATGATGGATAAAAATTTAAAATAGAAAGGGACACAGTGGTTCGTAATTACGGTAAAATTTGATTTCATAAAAATTAGAAAAAAAAACATTAAAAAATATATGCCTACGACGTTAACGCTATGGAAAGATCAGACCCCTTAAAGCTAATCTTACCTTATTATTAATATTATCGCTTTTCTCTTCTATATTACTTGTTTTATCTTTTGTTCTTGTCCTTTCATTTTGAAAGCGTATAAAATAACTAAATCATGTATTTATTGAAATCAGTATTTTTTTATATTCTTTTTAAGTTAGGTTCATAATAAAATAATGAATAGCATTATTTGTGATCAAATAATGACGCAATGTGATACCACAGATTATACGTAGACCAAAGGGATTCCCGAAAAAACCGCAATGGTCAGCGTACAAGTAACACCGAAAGTCTCTAAGTGGCCAAGTCCCTAATATTATAAAATAAAAGCTGTGTTAGATCGGTAAAAAACAGTCTCGAATTTTCCCCTAGGGAAAGATTTCGAATTTTCCCCTAGATGAACGCTGACACATGTGATGGAGTATATTTGTCAGCCGCAGCCTTGACAGAAGTCATTGTAGGATAGACCCAGTCTCATAGTATATCTTTCTAGTAAGCAGTGCCATGTCAACACCGAACCGTAATGCTAAGCAGTAGCTCGTTTATGTAACTTTCTGAATTCGTTTTCTCGAACGATTTTCTCACCTGCCCAAGTTTGTGTAGTTATACTTAGATATTTTTGTTTGAAAACTAGTTTAGCCATTGCACGTATATTCTTTCTAGTCCAATTATAAGTAAGTAGAGACTCGTAAAATAAAAATTACTTCTTATAGTTAACTTGAAAATATTTACATGTGACCAATTTTGAAGTACCTTATGTTAGATCAACTTCAACATCTCCTAACTCCTAAGATATGTTACACCTACACAGTATCTTAAACTTCGCCAAAGGTTCCAGATGGTTTTATACCCCGAAATTTTTTTATTATACGATAGCACAATGGGCCAATAGGCTTAAGTGAATCCCCATGGATCGCTAGTAGGTAGGTTACCCTAAATAATTTTAAAACGTATACGTAATAGTAAATTATTATAATCTACTATTATTATATATTTATAAGTTTCTAAGTAAGAGAAAGATATGTAAGAAATAAATTCCACGTAGAAAAAAAAAGAAAGAGGATTTTTATTCGACTAATCTGCTTATTCCATTTTCGATAGCTCCTTGCATATGTTACATAGGAGTGGGAAATATTTAAAAGACTTGAAGTGAGAATAGCTCAAAAAAGCTTGAAAAACACTGTGTTAAAATAATCCAAATTTATATACCCTTTAATCCGAATTTAATATCATAAGAGCAACTTGTTATATTCACATTAAAAACGATAATTATTTTAATAGAATTCAATTACATTATTATTTATCTTTACTCTAAAGATTCCATTATAAAATTTAATATTAATTAGTATTATGTATAATGTGAATGCATTTATGCAAAAATGTGTAATACGAGTAATTAATTCTCATCTTTATCTATTAAAAATTACGTGCATATGTGTATCTAGTTTTTGTTTGCAGTGTTTTGGCTTTTCTGCAATTGAAATCATTGTTTTTATTATTAGCAGTGTACGTACAGTACAAGTCGTGCGTAAAATTTCATGGGCCTGGTATTGAATCCAAAACACGTTTTTACCTAAAAAGTGAAATACTGGCAAAAACAAATCTCGGCTCACTCGCAAGAGTACAGAAAATATACAATCACTTTTTTGTTGCATACGCTTTGATATTTTCAAAGAGCGACTTTCTTAAAAGTCTCCACTGCTGGGTTTGTGGGTCTCACAAACATTTACTCTCAATAGAGTAGCGGAGACTCGGTTTGCGAGATCCCCTAATGCTTGTTATTGTTTTGAATTGCATTTAAACTTTTGTTTTTTCTTTTTCTACTGTTGAGGTTTAATTTTATTTATACATATTTTTTTTTTCTTGCTAAAGATGCTTCGATACTTTGTATCTACAATGTCTCTTCTTTCTTTCATCACAAGCTTCTATACAATATTTCGTATATGTATGTATTCACTTCTACAAGATGTGCTCGTTGAACTCCAGCATGCTACTTTTATAGTAAATTCACGAAACCACATCGTCATCAACAACAATATTACGTTCAGTATTACCAAGATTGGAACCGCAACACACTTTCCATTCACTATTTGTGGCTGATTTTTGCCATAACCTCTGGT